GATGCTATGTCAGTGGAAGAAGTAGTAGGGAGGCCGGAGACACATGGAGAAAGGGTTAAAGGCAAAATAAAAAAGTTGGTTTGTTTATTGAATAAAAATTAAAAGTTTAGTGACATAAAGAGAAAATTTTAGGTTATTGATTGTCATTTTAATTCATTTTCCCCACTATCTAACTCTCTATGTTTGGGATGCATTATAACCGAAGATGAAACCTCTATTTATAGTGATGGTAACCACCGCTTCTCTTGCCATCATTTATTGTGTTCACCATAAGGGAAGAAAACAGGCCACCCTAGGAAGAAAATGTTGCCATCAACAATGATGGGCTTGTAGATGGAGACCGGAAATCAAGAGAAGAAACCATGGGAGACACTACTAGAAACAAGAGGTGGCTTCCCTCCATCTTTTCGAATGCGTTTAAAATTTTTATTATCAAATAAAATTAAGATTGATCAGTCATGCTGTCAACGGCGGATCTAAAAATTCTGTCAGGGTCATTATTGAATTCAGAGGTGAACGTTGAAAAAAAAAAAAAAAAAAAAAAAAAACTGGTTGCACTTAAAGATAATTTACAATACATCAGAAAAATTCTAAAAAAATGTTCATTACAATCTACAATTTGAGGGGTCGTCCGTGCTAGAAAAAAGTTCACAAATAATATATTTAATTATAACATATCATCTTAATACAAAATAATTTTCTCTACTATCGACATCTACATTTTTAAAATATAAAGTAGTAATAGTAAAAGAATTAAAATAGAATATTGTAATAACGATTTATCGATAATGTTTACTTGTAAAATATTTAACATGATCAAATGGTTTAGCAATTGTATGCTTGTAAGTTGTAACATGTTTTAGTTAAAGAAAATACAATTGACATAAAGCAAACTCACATAAACCACGACAATTTGGTCAAATTTACCAAATTCAAATAAACATAAAATTACATATCAAAATTATCAAACAAAAATTAAGTTAAAATGTTAAACTTATTTTGTGAATAACTCTTGAGGACAATACAACCGGAGGAGTAATTTAGACGGTGTTTGAACTTTAAAAGTCAAAAAGACTTCTTTGCATGTTGTATTTTCTTTACATTAGTTCTTAGGCCATTGAGAGCCTTCATTAAAAAATGAATAATTAAGCCCAATTTAGCAGACTAAATTTATTGTCCATCAAAAGTCGTTGCGGCAGGGCCCTGCTGTTAGTAAATCAGATTAATACAATGCCTAAAAATTAAATAAGATCCGTTCAATAGATACAAGTTCTTAACTTTAGCCAAAATTAATCGAAAAAGTCAACCAAATATCATGCTTCTATTCTTGGTTATATCAAACTAATTTACTCCTTGTTAGCAAATTCAACAATGCTGCTTAGAAGTAATCCCCATAGCTACTTACTATGTATGATTTTTTTTTTTTTAGCTTAGCCCTTTCCCAAAATCCAAAAAGAAAGATCATTTGCCAAATACCATCAATAAAGCTCTATCCAAAAACGTCCTGTGTGCTATATATATATATAGAATCTACAAACATTCAACAAGATATATACTCAAATTGTTCAATAATCATGGATAGGAAGAGATATAACTTCCTACCAGAACTTTCTTTTTTGTTGATTCTTACTTTCACCAACATCTTTGACACCACTTCTGTGAGTGCTAACCAAGTGGATACCTATATTGTCCACTTAGATTCTCCAAACAGCATTGTGTTTGCTAAACCAGAAGAACGTGAAAAATGGTACAATTCTTATTTGTCTGAAAGCAGCACTGGATCGGATGAAAAACCGAGCATGATTCATGCATATCACAATGTGTTCACCGGGTTTGCAGCCAAGCTGTCTACAGATCAAGTAAAAGCCATGGAAAACATGGATGGATTCATATCTGCAAGACATGAGAGGGTGTACAAGCTGCATACAACACATACTCCCAGATTCTTGGGATTGCATCAAAATCTAGGATTATGGAGAGGATCAAACTATGGAAAGGGAATCATAATCGGGGTTCTAGACACTGGAATTACACCGGGTCATCCTTCTTTTGATGACAAAGGAGTCCCTCCTCCCCCTCAAAAATGGAAAGGTAAATGTGAAGTTGCAGGGTGTAACAACAAGTTAATTGGAGCAAGGGATTTTACTGATAGTGCTTCGGGTTCACCTCTTGATGATGAGGGACATGGGACCCACACTTCTAGTACAGCTGCTGGGAACTTTGTTGATGGAGCGAATGTTTATGGAATGGCTAAAGGCACTGCTGTAGGAATGGCACCACTTGCTCACGTGGCCATGTATAAAGTGTGCGATAATGTTGGGTGTTCTGATAGTGCTATCTTAGCAGCCATGGATGCCGCCATTGAAGAAGGAGTAGATGTGCTTTCACTCTCACTTGGTGGAGCTTCCGTTCCATTTTATGAAGATGGTGTTGCAGTAGGTGCGTTCAGTGCTATTCAAAAAGGAATCTTCGTAAGCTGTTCAGCTGGAAATTCCGGGCCTTTCAATTCAACTTTGTCAAACGAAGCTCCATGGATTCTCACAGTTGGTGCTAGCACCATTGATAGAAACATAAGAGCAACAGTTTATCTTGGAAACAAGGCTTTGCTTGATGGAGAATCTTTATTCCAACCAAAAGATTTCCCTCAAAACTTTATGCCTCTGGTTTACCCAGGTTTGACCGGTGGTCAACAGGCAGCATGGTGTGCGAAAGGATCATTAACATCCATTGATGTCAAAGGAAAGGTAGTGATTTGTGATCGAGGAGGTGGTGTAGCAAGAATTGACAAAGGACAAACAGTAAAAGACGCAGGAGGAGCAGCCATGATTCTCATAAATCAAGTCACAGATGGCGATTCTACAGAAGCCGATGCTCATGTTCTTCCTGCATCACATGTTGGCTATTCAGATGGTGTGTCAATCAAGACATATTTGAACTCAACCTCATCTCCTGTTGCCACCATCATCTTTCGTGGAACTGTAATTGGTGTAACTACAGCTCCCGAGGTTGCATCTTTCTCATCCAGAGGGCCCAGCGTGGCAAGCCCAGGAATCGTGAAGCCCGACATTATTGGGCCTGGAGTTAGCGTTCTTGCAGCTTGGCCTGTATCTGTTGAAAACAAAACCACAAACTCAACATTTAACATGATTTCAGGCACATCAATGTCATGCCCTCATCTTGCTGGGATTTCAGCATTGTTGAAAAGCGAACATCCTGATTGGTCTCCTGCAGCTATTAAGTCAGCAATCATGACATCAGCAGGACAGGTAAACCTAAATGGTGACCCAATCGAGGATGAGAGAGAGCTTCCTGCTGACATTTTTGCGATAGGTTCTGGGCATGTCAACCCATCAAAAGCTAGCGATCCGGGATTGATTTTTGATATACAACCCAATGATTACATACCTTATTTATGTGGTTTAGGATATACAAGCAAACAAGTTGGAATCATCGTGCAGAAAAGAGTTACATGCTCAAAAGTAATTCCAGAAGCACAACTCAACTATCCTTCCTTTGCTGTTACTTTAGGAGTAGGGGATTCCAAAACTTTTACAAGGACAGTGACTAATGTTGGTGAAGCTAATTCAACTTACACCATAACAAGTTCTTCTATTCCAGATGGTTTAAATTTAGGTGTTGGCACTGGGGGGCTTAAGTTCACTGCATTGAACCAAAAAGTGACATTTGAAATGTACTTCATACGGGATAGTCAGTATCTGGTCAAAACTCCGTATGCGGAAGGATTTATCACTTGGGGTTTTGGTAAATACTCTGTCAGAACTCCATTTTCTATCAAGTTTGTGTGAGGGGAATTAGTTAACAACCGTGGTGATACAGAATTAAATAAATTTTCCAAGTTTTTGTTCAATTCCACTCTCTTTCTGGTTTGTTTCCATTGATGAAGAGCATGGTAGTTCACCATTAATAATACTTTTGTTATTCATGATCATATCATTACACTGTCAACTGCATTTAATGTTGAGCGTTGGGTATCAAGTACTAAAACCTCAGAAACATAACATACTATGTACAGCCTAGTAGATATTTTTGACAACAATAACACTCGGAGTAAAAATTCTTAAATATAAATAAATAAGAGAATGATATTAGTTTGTTAAATGTAAGCATCAAGTTATAGACTTGTGATTCATGAATATAGATTCATTTCTCGACAGTTACTCATGATTTACTCACATTTGTATTGACCGAAAGATATCGATTTAGCAAACTCCTGATGATGAATCATTTGCTTATCTTTTTTAAAAGTGGGTAATGGGATCGTCATTCATGGTATTGACTTAATTAATTATAGTCAAATAAATATGATATGCATATTTTTAGAACCCATGTATGTAAAATATAAACAAAATTGATTAAACAATAAAACGAGGACGATCCTTAAGGATATTTAGCCCAACGACACTAAGCAAACAAAAACCATTTCACAAATGAAGTGATAAATACTATAGTGCCCCGACTTATCTCTCTAACAAATTATTTATTCCACTCTCTCCAAGGGTGCAAGACCGAAGGGAAGAGATACTAATCAGTAGGAAAAATAAAACCGCAGGAAGGAAAAAGTAAAACACATACTTTTTTGAGAGGTCGATGATGATAATGTATGTCGAAGTGAAAAAACGCAGTGGAGAGGTCAATGATGATGATGGAGGTGAAAAAACGAAGTGAACAATGCGTTCTTTTTCTGAGTAAGTTGAATAGGGAAGGGCAAATTGGGAAAGTTTTTTGCTTCTCTCCTGATTAGCCCAATTTTACTGATTGTTTTAGAGGAAGATACTTAATAATGACCGACAATCAGGATTAAATGTGGTTGCATTGGAATGATAATATTAATGACAAACAAAAAGCATTAGTATTATTAATGACGAACATCCATGTTCTTCATCAAAAAACAGATAGAGAATGGAAATACCAAAAAAAAAAAAAAAAAAAAACTTGGAAAACGTATATGATGCTTTACAACACTAATTGATTGTCCCCCCTCAGACAAACTTGATAGAAAATGGAATTCTGACCGAGTATTTACCAAAACCCCAAGTTATATATCCTTCCGCATATGGAGTTGTGACCTCAAAATCTCTATTCCGTAGGAAGAACGTTTGATATGTCAAACTTTGGTTCAATTCAGTGAATTTGAGCTCCGTAGTGCTAATACCTAAAAACATACCACCTGGAATAGAAAAACTTTTTATGGTGTAATTTGAATTAGCTTCACCAACATTAGTTACTGTCCTCTCGAAGGCTTTTCCATCATCAACTCCAAGAGTAACAGCGAAGGAAGGATAGTTAAGTTCTGCTTCTTCTATTCCTTCTGAGCAAGTAACTGTTTTCTTCACGATGATTCCAACTTGCTTGCTTGTATATCCTAAACCACACAAATAAGGTATGTAATCATCCGGTTTTATATCAAAAATCAACCCTGGATCATTAGCTTTTGACGGGTTGACATGCCCAGAACCTATGGCATAGATGTCAGCAGGGAGCTCTCTCTCATCCTCGATTGGGTCACCATTTAGGTTTACCTGACCTGCTGATGTCATGATTGCTGACTTAATAGCTGCAGGAGACCAATCAGGATGTTCGCTCTTCAACAATGCTGATATCCCAGCAAGATGAGGGCATGCCATTGATGTGCCTGAAATCATGTTAAATGTTGATTTTGTGTGTGCGCTGTTTTCAACAGACACTGGCCAGGCTGCAAGAAGGCTAACTCCAGGGGCGATAATGTCCGGCTTAATGATACCCGGGCTTGCCATGTTTGGCCCTCTGGATGAGAAAGATGCCACCTCGGGAGCTGTTTTATTCCCAATTACAGTTCCATGAAATGTGATTGTAGCAACAGGAGATGGGGTTGAAATCAAATATGTCTTGATTGAGACACCGGATTCATAACCAACATGTGATGCAGGAAGAACATGAGCATCTGCTACTGTGGAAACCCCATCTGTGACTTGATTATGTAGAATCATGGCAGCTCCTCCTGCCTCTTTTACTATTTGTCCTTTCTCAATTCTTGCTATGCCACCACCTCTATCACATATCACTACCTTTCCTTTCACATCAATGTTGGTTAATGATCCTTTCGCACACCATGCTGCCTGTTGACCACCGGTCAAACCTGGGTAAACCAGAGGCAAAAAGTTTTGAGGGAAATCTTGTGGTTGAAATAAAGATTCTCCATTAAACAAAGCCTTGTTTCCAAGATGAACTGTTGCTCTAATGTTTCTATCAATGGTACTAGCACCAACTGTGAGAATCCATGGAGCTTCGTTTGACAAAGTTGAATTGAAAGGCCCGGAGTTTCCAGCTGAACAGCTTACAAAGATTCCTTTTTGAATAGCACTAAATGCACCAACCGCAATACCATCTTCATAAAATGGAACAGAAGCTCCACCAAGTGAGAGTGAAAGCACATCTACTCCTTCTTCAATGGCTGCATCCATGGCTGCTAAGATGTTACTTTCAGAACAAACAAAATCATCACACACTCTATACATGGCCACGTGAGCAAGGGGTGCCATTCCCACTGCAGTGCCTTTAGCCATTCCAAATACATTAGCACCATCCACAAAGTTTCCAGCAGCAGTACTAGAAGTGTGGGTCCCATGTCCCTCATTATCAAGAGGTGAACCGGAAGCACTATCAGTAAAATCCCTTGCTCCAATTAACTTGTTGTTACACCCTGCAACTTCACATTTACCTTTCCATTTTTGAGGGGGAGGAGGGACTCCTTTGTCATCAAAAGAAGGATGACCCGGTGTGATTCCAGTGTCTAGAACCCCGATTATGATTCCCTTTCCGTAGTTTGATCCTCTCCAGAATCCGAAATTTTGGTGTAACCCCAAGAATCTGGGAGTATGTGTTGTATGGAGCTTGTAAATTCTTTCAGGTCTTGCAGATACGAATCCATCTATACTTTCCATTGCTTTTACTTGATCTGCAGACAGCTTGGCTGCAAACCCCATGAACACATTGTGATATGCATGGAGGATGCTCGGTTTTTTATTCGATCCGATACTGCTTGATGATAAAAAAGAATGGTACCAACTTTGTAGGTCTTCTGGTTTAGCAAACACTATGCCATTAGGAGATTCTAAGTTGACAATATATGTTTCTGCTTGGTTGGCATTTGCAGAAGTGGTGTCAAAGATACTTGTGAAAGTTAGAATCAATAGAATATAAAGTTGTGGTAAAACGTTATATCTCTTCCTCTCCATGATTATTGAAAATTTTGAGCGTATTTCTCATTTGATGTTTATGGATTCGATATATATAGCACATGGGGGATGTTGTTGGAGACAGCTTACTTCATTGATGATATTTGGATTTTGGCATTTCTTTTTGGATTGTGGGATAGGGCTGATTTAATTGGGTGAATGCATGATATTTGATCTTTCTTGTTGGATTTTGGGGAAGTCTTACAAAGTAAGCAGCGATAGTGATTACTTTAATAGTAGCATTGTTTGAACTGTTCTAACAAGGAGGGAGTAAGTTATTTTCATATCTTAGCAAGAATACAAGCACTGTTTTTAATTGATTGTATTCTTGATTTGGGCAATTGGATTATTTTGCCTTAAATATAGGGAACCATGGAAAGAGGTCTACTTTGAAGCCCAGATATAATTTCGTAGCCCATTTCACAAATCATTTAAAATTTATGGCTACTTTATGATAAAGAAAAATCATATTGCATTGATATAGATAACTTATTTAACTTTGATGTTAATCTTTTAGTCGTGGGAAATAGAATTGAGGTTATTTTGGTCGGTTGGCTCTCTGTGTACGCAAGTTGACTATCATTTCCATGTTGACCTTATCTTTATATATAAAAATGAACATGTGTTTTTTTATATATTTAAATATACCATGAGATCTACATCTACCAAAAGCTAATTACTTTTTCTTATTATAAGTTTTTGGATCTAACTACAAAAACTTAACCCAAAACTTAAAATGTCCAAATAATTTGTATTTGCTAAAACTACTTAAACCCTTGTACAAATTATAAACATAGTTCTTAAAAAAACATATATAGCAAATTATTCTAAACCTCCCTCTTGACTTCTCCATGATCTGTAAACGCCTGTCACGGATGACTATCAACGCACGCCTAATTTTCATCCAACTACTCCTTACATTCTCTGTCACCATTGCTGCAGGAGGTACTGAAACTGAAAAGACACTTGTAAGTAGTACTGGCTTGAAAAATTACATTGTCCATGTAAAGAGACAAGTAGCTTCACTATCTACAATAAGCAGCGAAGATCTGAAGGCATATCATCGATCATTCCTCCCATTTCGTCTTGCATCCTCAGAGAAAGAGGAACCATTACTTTACTCATACCAAAATGTTGTCAGTGGTTTTGCAGCAAGACTCACTGACGCCGATATTGAAGCCATGAGTAAAAGAGATGGGTTTGTATCAGCTCGTGAAGAAAGAATCTTGAAGCTTCAAACGACTCATACCCCTAAATTCTTGGGTTTGCATCTGAAATCAGGAATTTGGAAAGAATCCGAGTTTGGGAAGGGTAGCATCATTGGAATGTTAGACACTGGGATTCTACAGGATCATGCTTCATTTAGCGACCATGGAATACCACCTCCACCTTCTAAATGGAAAGGAAGGTGTGAGTTCAATGCCTCAACCTGCAACAACAAACTCATAGGTGCAAGATCCTTTACAATTGGTGCAATGGCTTCAAATATAAGCACGACACCAATGGATGAATTTGGACATGGGACACATACCGCAAGCACAGCTGCTGGACGATTTGTTAAGAATGCAGAAGCATTCGGTGGTGCTGCAGGTGGAACAGCCGCCGGAATGGCGCCCTATGCTCATCTGGCAATTTACAAAGTATGCTCCAATGGAGATTGCCCTGATAGTGACATACTAGCGGGGCTTGATGCAGCAGTGGCTGATGGAGTTGACGTGATATCAATGTCTCTTGGGTTGGATGAAAAGTTGCCCTTTTTTCAGGACAACATCGCGATAGCTTCATTTGCTGCAGTTCGGAAAGGAATCTTTGTGAGTTGTGCAGCAGGGAACTTCGGTCCGATTAATGGCACTGCAACAAATCTAGCGCCGTGGGTTCTAACAGTTGGTGCTAGCACCACCGACCGGAAAATCAAAGCCACCGCAAAACTGGGAAACAATAAAGAATTTGATGGTGAATCTTTATTTCAGCCGAAAGGCTCCCCTTCTTCTACACTTTCACCACTCGTGTACGCTGGTGCTAATGAGAAACAAGATTCAAAGTTATGTGTCAACGGATCACTTGAAGGTATGGATGTAAAGGGAAAAGTGGTGTTGTGTGAGAGAGGAGTGGCATCTAGAATAGACAAAGGAGAAGTGGTGAAGAAGGCAGGTGGTGCAGCTATGATATTGATGAATCAAGAAGAAGAAGGATTCAGCCTAAATGCCGATGAACATGTCCTCCCTGCAACACATGTGAGTTACGCAGCTGGAGAAAAGATCAAAGCTTACATTAACTCCACACTTACACCAATGGCAGCTTTATTGTTCAAAGGAACAGTAATCGGAGATCCTTTAGCTCCATTTGTCGCGGCATTCTCTTCTAGAGGCCCGAATACAGTGAGCGCAGGAATTCTGAAACCGGACATTATTGGACCAGGAGTTAGCATTCTAGCAGCATGGGGAAGCGTTAGCAGAAAGCCCTCATTTGACCTGCTGTCTGGAACGTCAATGTCATGCCCGCATCTCAGCGGTGTTGCAGCAATGCTGAAAGCTACTCATCCTAATTGGACACCAGCAGCTATAAAGTCGGCTATAATGACTTCTGCAGACCTTGTTAATCTCAAAGGTACACCAATAGTAGATGAAACACTCCGACCAGCTGACCTATTTGCTACGGGTTCGGGTCATGTTAACCCATCAAAAGCCAATGATCCTGGATTGATCTATGATATCCAACCTGATGATTACATACCCTACTTATGTGGGCTTGGGTACAGTGATGAACAAATTGGGATCATTGCACATCGGCCGATTAAATGTTCAATGAAATCTAGCATACCGGAAGGCCAGCTAAATTATCCTTCGTTTGCTGTTAAACTGGGACCACCGCAGACATTTACAAGGACAGTGACAAATGTTGGAGAAGCTTATACATCATATGTTGTCACGATTACTGCACCAAAAGGAGTATCGGTGAGTGTTAGGCCCAACAAGATCAATTTTACGCAGATGAACGAGAAAGCCACATACTCGGTGATCTTCAGTCGCACAAATGAGGAAGCAGGTGATCATTCTCATGGTTATATAACATGGGTCTCCATTAAATACATGGTTCGAAGTGTAGTCTCTGTGACCTTGATCATGTAAAACCAGCATATGCGGTACTTATCTGGGTACTTGAAGACCAAGTCAGAACTGATCAATTGAGAATAGTTTGTGCTGAAGTCTTGAAGATGAGTCATAATCGGATAAGATCTAGGATTAGCCTAACATCTCTCCACGTGCTGTTAGCTGGATTTCCTATTTTCTAGGTATTTTTTCTAATGTATTTTTGTATCAGCCCAATAACGACGGAATAGGTAAAATGATATATAATTCCAAGTCTACCTATTCTAAAATGAATAGTTCTGTTATACACATCATGTCATCATTCATCATTCTTGGAGCTTCTCATTATAATTTTTCTGTATTTGTGTAGGAAGTACTAGTATCTTTAACATATTCTCACATAAGCTTTTTGACTTTTTTAAAGTCGTATGAGCTTAGCATTTCATAGGTTTGATTTTGGAGAGAAAAATTATGAAAAATAAATAAATACAACCACAAACTAAAACGATAATTGTTTAGCATTAAAATAGTGTTTGAATTATAATCAACCTCTAAAATGGTGGGTTTTAAGGACTTTTACATTTGGCTTTTATATGTGGTGTTAAAATGGCGCTAAATTTAAAGGTCCATTGGGGTATTCTAGCCCTTTAAAACACAAAATTTGTGTAATATAATGTATGATTAGAGTTGCCCTTATCACAGGGTATACCTTCAACTTTTTGGGGTTTTTTTTAAATGAATGTTAGAAGATTAAGATAGGGCTTCTTAAATTTTATTTTTTTATAATTTGATTTTCATTTATGAAAAACATCAAGTATTGTGAGATATTGAAATAAATTTGTATAATTTAAAATTTTATGTTACCATAAATATTGTAGTTATTACGGTATTAGTTATAAACTGTAATTCAATTACATGATTAGGTTATATAATTTTTTGAGGAAAAATATTTTATTTCTTAATAAAAACTGATATCTAAACAGTTTTTTTTTTTGCTATTTCAAGTAAATATATGACTCATTGCTCATGATAAGTATAATAAAAATAAATACTAACAAAACCTTAATCACGTATAAAACTACTAAAGATATAAAATATAGTCAATCTTTTTTGTTTCATAGATAAAATCTGATATAAAAAAATCATGGACACGTCATAAATGAAGTCTTGCATATGAAAGTATAAATGTTAGTTTGTTATAAATAAAAGTAATAATATTAAATACAATAATAAAAGTAACAAATAGTATATATATATATATATATATATATATATATATATATATATATATATATATATATATATATATATATATATATATATATAGCAAATCTAACATATTACTAAACTTACTCCTTAAATTCTCATATGTCTACAACGGAATTTGAAATCTCAACCTCAAGAGAAAAGGCAATACCGGATATCACTGGACTAGAAGCCATTTGGTTAGATTGTAATATAATAATAAAAAAAGTATTACTTTCTTTAAATTGAGACAATCTAAATAAAAAATTGCTATGTTTATTTAGAATACATAAAATAAAAGTTAATTACCAAAAATATTTTTTAAACCTTTTATGAAGTCTAAATGCTAAGGATGTTTCTAAAAAAACGAGAGGACATATATGTGTGAGGATGACACACACCTACACTCATATGGAGTTTTTTTTATAAGATTCCCTAATGTTAATTACTTTTGTTAATAATTGCAAATTTATTTGTAATAACAAAATATAAAAAAGTAAATGTCAAAACGCACGGGACGTAGTATGTTTAGAAAAACTAATTGATAACTGAAATTTGAAACTATAAGATAGAAGATGTAAGTTGTATTTTTTTAATTATATATTTTGTTTGTATAAAATATTCGGCCAAATTAGTTGTAAACTTTTAAAATGTATAAAAATATTATAAAACATATAAACTAAAATCTAAAAAGGTTGGATGTGTTTTTTTAAATAAAAAAATTTAGTTTGTATTTCCAAATAAACCCTTTTTGTATTTTATTTTATCATTTTATGTTCATTTACATTTGGTACATTTGGTACTTTGCTTTACTTTTTTATTTGAAGTAGAACAATGTTATATTCATGATTGATTGATTATGTTTTTTGTTTTAAGTTTTCTAAATTTGATATTTCATTGTACCACTTGATTAGTTTTTCATTAATCATATAAAGAACATTATTGATATAGTCAAACCAATTTATAGTAATTTAAATTAACGATTATATAGTTATGGACAAAACATATAAATTATTTTTAAAAATAATTGTTTGCAAATCTAATACAATAGTAACCTAATGATTAAAAGAAAACATAAAGTTCCCTTAGATTTGAGAACTTAGATTTGAGAATCAGGTTCTCCTTACAAAATCCAATTCTAAACTTCTCATATCTTACTATTTAACCTTAGCATCCTTGTTTATAGATATTCTTGATTTTGCTAACAAGAAACTTACACAACAATCTAAATAATAAAAGAAGAAAAGATAAACATAATAGGTAATATGTGCATAAGAAAACAATCACTAAAATCTTTTCCTTTTTGCGATTATCCAAACACCTGGAGTTGAATATTGTTGAAATTATAGTTTATCCACCAGTAGAAGAAATAGCAAATGATATAAAAGTCCTTAAATTTTCACAAAAATGTTGGTTTTACCATTGGATGTGTTTTAGGTCCAGTAAAGTCGAATGTTTTGTTTAATTTGTTCATTTATAACATTTTAGCTGGTTTCCAAATAACCTACCGGTTACCTGATGTAAGTAATGCCCTTACGTTTTCAAAATTGTTCAAATTTACCCTTAAGTGTTGAAAAATGTTCAGATTTATCCTTACTTTGAATATTATTTTGATTATTATTATTATTATTATTATTATTATTATTATTATTATTATTACGTTTTTTAATGTATAAAAATATTCTTATTAATATAAACTAGTGTGTGAACCCGTGGTGAACCATGGGTCACGTTTTTTGTTGGTTTTTTGCCACCGTTTTCAAATGGTAAATGTATTAAATAATTATTGTTTAGAATTCTACACTTACGAAGGTAGAAAAAGGGCATGTAACAAATAGTATTAAATAAATGGTAATTGTTTCCACAGATTGGAACGTTTGTATAAGCAGTGTATTGTTTTAAGTTAAAAATCAGAAACAGTCGAAAACACTAAATGGTGTTCAGGTTTACTTAAGTCTACCTACACATAACAAAGTTATAAATATACATATTAGTAATGCCTCAAGTTAAAATCCTACTTTCATTTCTTTCCATCACAAGTCATTATATTTCGACAAATCTACCCACTTTGAGCATTGTACTTTCAACATTTCTCTTATTATGACATTATACTTAGAAAAAAACAACCCAAATATAGCATTGGGAATCACTTTCTATCATAACTATCGTCAATTCTTCTATATAAAAAATATTTTGAAATGAAAGCAAGCATCTAATGTAACTAACTTACATATAATGCAATACCATAGTATCATATGAATGAGAAAAAGGTAATATCATTAATTGTGTTGGAACCGACACTTACCTACCAACAATGGAAATATGTGGATGCAGTGAGGTAATACATTACAAAAGCAGTAGCCAGTTAGACTAACAGTTAGTAAGTGGAGTGGTGTGTGTGCTTTTAAAATTTTTATTTCTTGTATAATGTTTATGTGTTGTGATTAGCAGTTGCTACCAATAAAAATTTGGGTTTTGCTTTTGCTTTTAGTTTGTTGTCTTTCGGTATTCCGTTAAATATGGTATTCTTTTCATTAGGTCTTGGAACTTCCTTGTCATAATAATTTATTAATTTATTGTCACATAATATATTAAAATAGAAGCATGAAAATTTAATTTACTTTACAGTATGTAGCTCGAGACTCTACATTCCAATATAATAGAATGGCATAGTTTCTTAGTAAAACAATGTACTTTCAGTTCTATTTTCCATTTGAATCCATTGCTAGATGTCATTTACCAATACTCATGTGGATTTGACATTTGAATATTTAAAGTTAACTAATTTAATCCATAACCCATTTATACCCACTTTAGTCATCTACCAACAATCGATGGTTTTATCAAATACTATATTAAATTATTACTTAAACTAATATTTTAAACCATATTAATGGGTGTTCTTTTTATAAAAAGTTTGTGTTGAGCTTTCACCTTTTTGTCCTTATTAGGACATCATACTTTCAAAGCTCTATCCATTCAAAAACACAATTGACAAAAATACGAGCCCATTCAAACACCTAATAAAGTACTATTTACCTTTGTAGGCCCAAGTACATTGGTCTTCAGCTTCAAACTCCAAGAAGATGAAAATCTTATCATAATCTCATGTATACTTTGTAATAGCCCGGATCCCCAGGTATCTTCATTTCCTTATATATTTTGGCATTCTGTGAGGGGACTCGGCGAGTTGGTGGTTGAACTCGTCGAGTCGGGTCGCGGTTTTTAGCGGGGGTTCGCGTCCGGACTCGGCGAGTCCAAGGGATGGACTCGACGAGTCCGTGCTGTTTAATGAAACCCTAATTCCCCGGCCCTAAGCTCTATTTAAAGGACCTTATGGCCCTCATATGCGGCCACCTTGAACCCTAAGAGCCTCCATACGTCTGTAAGCCCTTGTGTGTGTGTTTGAAGGCCTTTTGTTCTTCATTTTGTGTGTTAGTGCAAGGAAAGGAGGGAGAGGAGCAAGCTTGAAGTGTTGGGGAGCTTAGATCTGTTGCCATTTCATCAAGGGGGTCTTCTTGAGGTAACTTTCTGAGCCAATCTTCGTGTTTTGTGTTGATGGGCCAAATCTAGGGTTTCTTCTTGCCTTTCTTGGCTTGAATAAGAAGTATGAGAGGTCCCATGGAGACATGGAACCTAGATTTGGACTTTAGCAGGTCCAGGAGACCCCTTATGACAAGCTTTATGCCCATCCATTTGAATTAGAAGCTATACTTGCCATATTGAAGGTTGTTTCTTCAAAATAAGCCTTGTATGCATTGCATGGCAACCAAGACTGAGACTTTACGTGACAAATAAGCTTGGGAAGGCCAGATCTATGTATTTATGGAACGGATCTGACCGCAAGAGCCAGTTTTAGCTGGTGCATGGCATGGACTCGCCGAGTCTGAAGAACAGACTCGACGAGTCACTTGAAGATAGTCTTTGAGACCATCTTGTGTGTAGACTGGACTGAGTT